TGAAAATTGCAGCAGTATTCAAGGGGGAAAATTTCACGACTTTGAAAACTGATCGCTTACTCTATCACAAAAACCAAGAATAAACCAATTTCCCAAATATGATATAAGCCCTTTAATGCCTAGAAATATAGCGATTGGGGGATTATCAGCTGATCCAATACCAAATTCTCCAAACTGACATCATATAAATTGTGTGGCAGACAGATTAAAAAAAAACTCCAAGGTCTAACTCCAATATGTTTAAAAATGGAAAAAGTGTAGCCAGGAGATGTCCTGAGTCCTATGGAAATTGGTTGCCTCTGACTGTTGTTCTATCTGAAACAGACTAATGCTTAAGCCTTCATCAGTGGTATGAAAAAACGAAGATCGTTATCATACGCTAGTTAAAGTTAAAACGTGACGCAAAGCTTGCGCGCGTAACTAGCAACAGTCAGAGGCAACCAATTTCCATAGAACTAACCCCAATATCTACGTAAGTAGACCAATGTACATCACCCCCGAATTTGAACTGTCACGAGGCAGCAAAAACAAAATTTGGAACGAGTTCGAGGCAGATTGTCGAAAACGTAAAAAAGCTGTCCCACGCTTCCTTATTGAGTTCCGGTTTATTCACTGATTTTACGACTCTGTTAAAACGCTTCGTTTAACCCCCAGTAACACTGAGCTCCTCGCCTATTCGAATAAAAGAGACATTAAGTAGTCAGGAAGGCGACGCCAGGGAAGACGTCGATTAAAAAATGAATTTCTACTTTTAATTAGAATTTCGAAAATGGCTGCCTGTGTGTACCGTTTCATACGGCGCCACACCTCGACCTCAATATAACGTATAAAAGAAGCGTTGGGTTCCAAATGGAAATTGAAATAATTTACCGTCGCGGTTTCGATTCGGAGACGACGCGAATTTTGGTGATTTCACGTCGTTGTTTGCAAAAGACTAAGTTTCAAAACGCACGCGCCAAGCTTTTGTTCTGCCAATTAGATCTTTTATTTTTCCACGTCCTCGTTGCCGTCGCCGTCGTGGTTTGCTCAAGTTCCCTAAAAGGACACTAGAAATGCTGCATTACAGGCACGTGCAACAAGGCCATAAATGGGCGAAAAACACGTGCCACATACATGTTGTTTGGTTAAGTAATAGACCAACGATATCACTTGAAATGTCAATCGAATTAAGACTAATACACGTATCGTACAGTTTCCAAAAAGGTGTCAAGTTTCATAGACTAGCTTCCGAGAAAGCCATTCTACCTTTCGAATAGCTTCTGCGCCTGGAGGAGCCTTACCCACATCTCATCCAGTAAAAAACTGCATTTGAGATCAGAGTCGATCGCTGAATCTTTCTATCAGCAATGTCTTCATCGAATTTTTTAAGGCAAGCGAGAAAGCAGCCAGCTCTGAACAACTTCGATACTCACAAAGAGCAAATCAAAAGGACCGTCATCACAGAGAACCGAATCAACTCCTTTCCACAGATCTGATCCCAGTGCCACATTTCGGGTTTTAACGCCAGTTCCCTCAACATCATGGAGTTGGGACGCAGAAAGTCGATCGCCATTTCCGCGAAGAGATGCAAGGGCATATTACATGGAATCTTCAAGGTCAAGGCAGGAACACGAAGGAGAAAGAAAACAAATACAAGGAAGAACGCCTTGGTATGACTACACAAATAGGACATCGTCAGATAATGGAAGACACCAGCCACACCAGCCGCGTTCACAGCAGCCCGCACACCAATAGAGAGATTTAGCAAGAGGACGGGAACGTCAGTTGACAACGGCGCGCGCAGCAAAAATACCGGTAAGAAACTGGGTCGAGAACGTCGCCCCGTTGTGTTTCAGAAGTGATTTAGCAGTCGTTTCCAAGAGACGTCATCGCAATATCTGTTCTTCAATGGCCTAAACTCGGCTTTTCAAAGATCGCCAACACAAATTTTCGCTTTCACAAACAGCTTTAAGGACAACGAAACTATCCTCCTTGAGAGTGATGCAACAAGCGCAAACAGAGGATAATTATAGTTACGGAAAGTTAGATGTTTATAATGTACGAACCACATGGGCGATTAAACTCTATAATTGATCCATTCCAGGTAAGACTCGTGTCTGTTGATTCCTGTATCGAATTTTGGAGCCCATTAGATATTTTNGCCTTGCTCATTCAAAAGCAAACTGAGTCCTGAAATCTTGGATCGCTTGCCAACGATTGTGTTCCAATTTCCTTTCGGGAATCCAGCATATTGAAGCGGCAAGTTTTCAAAAATACACCGATTAAAACAAAGAAAGGGACCCAATTATCCTGAACATGAGTTTTGAAATACTTCCAAACAGTATTATCTCGTTTGGATCGATTAACAAATACACAATTGACAGAAATCTCAGACGTTCTGATCGCGACGGGAAAACCAGCGAAGTGACGTCCAGAACTTGTTTGGGAGAACGGCAACGCTAACACCGGAAGTCGAACGGTGTCGTGTCCAGACTATTCCGCCCGCTCTCCCGTTCTGAAATGACGTTCCCGTCCTCTTGCTAAATCTCTCTAATATCTCATGGCGAAGCGTACAGGTTACAAAGCTGCCGCGAACAAGACACATCTTCGTGATCCATCCAAAAGGCAGTTCCCCCACATGACAGCGGAAACAATTAAGCATGAACTTAAAAATCCTCCCGAAGCTTCAGGAGTCGAGGTTGTTTACAGCAAAAACGTCCACGAGGCTGAGACCTGGTTGAGAACACACATCACAGATTGTTCAGGTTCAGCCGTTGGCTTCGACATCGAGTGGAAGCCTCAGTTCGTAAGCAAGAAAAATGGAAGCGCCGAGAACAAGACTGGCGTTCTTCAACTGGGAGTCGCTACAATTCGTGCTTAGTGCTGCACATTCATCACATGAGAGAACATTGCCAAATCTGCTTGTCTCAGTTCTAACCGACGCCACAGTCTTGAAAATCGGAAGTGGTATAAAGCGAGATTTGTCTAAGCTCAGGAGAGATCGAGGGTTAGTCTGCCATGGAATCGTCGATACACAAGACGTGGCAAAGTCTCTCGATCGCTCATCTGCGCAAAAAGTAGCATTAAAGGCATTGGCGGAACGTTTCCTTAGTATTACAGTTGCAAAGAGCAAGCGGGTGGTAACAAGCAACTGGGAGAACTTTCTTTGACCTTGAAGCAAATCGAATACGCTGTTCTGGATGCTTGGATCGGATTAAAAGTCTTCAATGCAATGGAGTAAAGTAAGGGCTTATAAAATCTTACATCGTGTGGATTGATGGAGCACTTAAAGTCTAATATTTACACAAGCAGGAAAAGTTTGGATTACGAACATAAGCCATTCAACAAAAACTTGTTCAACTGTTCGATATGTTGATCATTTTGTTGTGTTTTATTCATTTTTATTTCCATTTCGTTTTGTTTGTTCGTGTTTTGAAGATTCCCGAAGGATAGCTAGAGTACAAAAATCTAACCGATCAAGGGAGAAAATATTTCAAAGTGGTGCTGTAAAATGAAAGAGAGACAAACAAGGCAACCACAGAAAAAAAATTCTAGCTAACAGTTGCATTATCTATAAGCACAGTACACAACTTTAAGAACACCTCAGGGAAACCAAAATTAAGATTTACGCAAGGTGGGGAGAGAGAGATCATCCGATTCCTTGGTGAATCTTGAACTCGAAGTTGAGGAGAAAGTAGGGTGTAGCATACGATATTCTACTCCAAAACCGGATTGCTTTCGTTATCTTCACATGCTGAAGTGATGCTTTGCAAAGCTAGCTTTAAATTCTGCAGAACCTTAGCCTTCGAGAAGTTACTCATTATCAGCGCTGCGAGACGCAATTTTCTCTGTTTCAGTGCGTTTAAAAATAATAGCTGAACTGAGTGGAGTGCAGTTTAGTCTGAAATAATTCGCGCAATTTTAAAATCAAACGAGCGTACAGTACGAGTTTGCTTTGAAATCACACAACTCTTTTGAAATTGCAAAATTCAGTCGCTAAGCACAAGTTTTTGTATAAAGGGGGTAAGTTTCTAAAGAAACTGTGGTACTGCNATGCATTTCAGTGGCCCTAACGTGCTTTACAACACTCTGCGAGGGACCTTGGCCAGACTGCATTGTGCAGTTTACAATTTATAACAGGAAATTTGGCAGATTCTCCCAATTAAGGAATTTTGAAAACAAAATCAGACTTCAGCACCAGAAGCTATGCTCCCTTCCCTTTGTGAGAAGTGCTTGGGTTCATCCCTCTCTTACCATTATAACTGTTTCAGTGTGTTTAAAAATAATAGCTGAACTGAGTGGAGTGCAGTTTAGTCTGAAATAATTCGCGCAATTTTAAAATCAAACGAGCGTACAGGACGAGTTTGCTTTGAAATCACACAACTTTTTTGAAATTGCAAAATTCAGTCGCTAAGCACAAGTTTTTGTATAAAGGGGGTAAGTTTCTAAAGAAACTGTGGTACTGCATCGGTGGGGGTAACAAGGTAATTTGGTATATCAACTAAGTTGAATTGGCCACCGTAAAGAGTTAAAAAGCTGACGTTTTATTGATCCAGTACAATGAGCTCGTTTGTAAAACAATGCAAAAGTTGTCTCTCATTTTCCTACAATTTGATTGGTTTCTTCAAACAAGCCTTGGAATTTGATTGGTTGTGTTGTTTTAGTAAAGCTGTCTCACTGGCTGGAAAAATTGTTGCAATTCAGAGCATGAAATCGCGCAATTTGTGAATAAATCACACTGGTGAGAGCCATTCCTAGTGCAAGGATCACAAGTGATTTCAAAATATATGTGATAGATAGGGTCGATGTCTCATTCACGTTGTTCATTGTGTTAATCATGCTGTTGTAAAGTAATGAACCATTGTTTCTTACAGCGGGGGAACTATTATGTTTCAGCAGTGAGGGAGGTGCTCCTCCTCCCACCCAACCCTAGTTCCCCCAAAAATATTTAAAAATGGATAAATAAATTAACCAACAGAGAAAATAAATCAAATTATTGAAAAGAAAATAACAAAATGCATGCAAGTACCCATAGTTCAGCCCCTGTATGAACTTAACAACAAAATACAAAATTTGAGAGTACTCACAGAGTGTGTTAAAACCTTCTTTCTTTGTTACAAACTCCTTTTCGTCCATCTAGTTAAGGCAGATTGCAAGAAATAAGCTAGTATCTCCGATCCTTAAAGTAGTAATTAGGATCCGAGATACTAGCTTATAAGCTAATCTAAAATCCGAGGATAAATAAAGTTTATGAAAAATGAAAAAAAGAAAAGATGGAAGGTTCATGACTTATGTCTTAACTAAATATGGCTCCATCATTTCATTCAAAATAAATTCAAAACCAAAACAGTATGGTAATTTAATTAATAATAATCTGTGCCATTATAAGAAAAGGCAAACAGAAAGAAAGCCTGACCAAAAGAAGCACACAAACAAAACAAAACATTAAATGATTTATCAAATGAACAAACAAATGCACGATTACAACTAAAAACTGAGGAACTCATTCAATCAGGATAAGAGGTAAGAATATAAAACCTGAAATAAACAAAATTAATATTCTTCCAAGAACATAACAATCATTTACCTAATAATGATCAAAATATTTCAACAATGAAGATTCGATGTTTACATCTTCAGCAAGCTATATACTTACATTAGTGAAGAGACTGTTCAGTTTTTCAACATCTTTGTCATCAAACTCATCATCATCCTCATTTTCATCTTTTTCCACATCTGAACTGTCACTGGAAGATGAAGAACCAGATTCTGTTTCAGCTGGTGGGGGCACATCTTCTGTTATGGTATTCACCTCCTTATAAAAATAACCAAAGTAAAACAAAACAAAGGATATTAATTAATAAAATAAAGAAATAGTAGAGCAATAAAATATAAATATGAAAGAAACAAATGAACAAAAAAGAAAGCACAAACACTTTACACCTAAACATCATATTATCAATGCTTTTCTTTATAACAATCCCCAAAGAGCTGAAAAGGAGAACTTGATCAGCCCTTTTGACTCCCAGAAATGATTAACAAGTAACTTCTCCCTATAATATCCATACATTATCCAGCAAGTAGGTAATGAGAATACTCAAACTTATCAGGTAATAGTTGATATCTTGATTAAACATCAAATTCTCACAATAAATTTACAAGGAAATGTGTAGCAGCTAGAGGGGAGAAGTAACAATCAGATCTTGGGGGTTAAAGAGGTCTAATGATCAGGAGCTTCTTTGGTTGGTGATCATTTTCTTTCTTCTAGTGATCCTAATAATGTGATTCAGGGGTGATGTAGTGAGGAGAAATTAGACACTAGTCACTCTTTGGGTTTACTGGTTGGTATTAGTGAACAATGGTTCCCATTTTCAACCGACAGGTTACTGACAGGTCACCAACTGTCGGCCGACAGTCAGCCAAAACTTTGGCCTGAAACATAGTGAAAACTGGCGGTCGACAGTGGGCCAACTGTTGGCTGTCTGTCGGCCAACTGTTGTCTGACAGATGGCCGACAGTCAGCCGACAATATCTTTTGGGAACAGTTCTTCACTTTTACCTAGATGCTGCCAAACAACATGATTTCTAACAATTATGTAACAGACACAGGTGGTCGTTGGATGTATTGGACAAATCTAACTATAAATTGATGTATGATTTTAAATTAGGAAGCATAAACCATGAATGCCATATGGCAACCACTGCATGTACTGAAAATAAAATCTAATTAACATGGCACTGCTTACTGATAGCTGTGTTGCAAGCAGTTGTGTTCTTTCCCATTTAGTTTGACAACTGAATGAAAAGTAGTCACCGAAAAAACAAACAAAGAAATGAAATCGAAATGGGGCTTGAATTAAAGGTGGACAATGTCCGGTCAGTAATGAGTTTTTGTCTGGACAAATCCTTGGATAGCTGGACAATTTGTGCAGTTGTTTACACTTGTAGGGAAAAGATTTAGAGTTTCGAGTTTCAATGTTTTAACAAGGCTGTGCTCTGAGGAAAATTGAATGGAGCCCAGTGCTCCGAAACTGTAAAATCCAGGGTGCCGAGCATATGCTTTTCATGGAAAATCTGAAATTCTTGAGTTGCCCAAGAGCAAAAGTAACTTGCACCAGGGGCAACCAGGCACTGCTAAACCACAGCCTTGTTCAAGGCCCAATAATGTTGGCACTTGTGAACAAGGAGGGGAATTAGACAGAGCTGGCGTAAATTGGGGGAGCAAGTGCTCAGTATTTTTTTTTGGAAAAAATGGCTGCCATCTTTGATTCTAACGGAAGCAGAAGGTTGGGGAGAGAGAAAATTTGTATCAAAGGGGAGAGTGATGGTCAAAATTAAGGAGAAGGGCTAGGGAAAGGGAGAGAACATTATGCCTGTCTGAACCCATTGCTAATTGTTATAAACATTATGTCAAGGGCGGGAAGAGGGACACTTAATTTTTTTGAGGCCTTTCAAAATAACTACCAGTACACTTTACATGCTGTGCATTCGACACAAAGATGTTCTTGAGGTGCAAATTTATTTTTCTACCCTGAAATCCGGTGACTACAGTGACAAACCTGAGCTTGAATTGACAGAATCCTTAAAGTTTGGCTGCTTTAACCAGCATAATTTATTCTCTGAATGATAATGTATCTCTACAAGCAAAGCCTGATACCTGTGAGCTGGAGGGGGCAGGTGTACTGCTATTCTTGGAAGGAGACACAGACTGTTTTATTGTTTTTTGCTCCACTGGTCTCTTTTTATTCTTGGTCTTGTTTTTCTGTGTTTTGGCGAGAGTTAAATTTGACGGAGTCACAGGAAGCTTCACAGGTTTATTTGACTGATTTGATGACCTAACAATAACAAAGCATCTGCATGTTAAGAAAAATTTTAATTTCTAAGCATACATGTACCTGTAGACCCAAGGGATAAAATAATTGGTCAACTGAAGATAAAGATAAAACAGGGGTTTGGCTGGGCATAAAAGTTGACTTTCACTTGCAGCTGAAAACAGCATTTCAACTTCCTCTTTTCAGATTATTTGCCCTTAGATCAAAGGAATTGACCATCATGAAGAAATCTAACCATGGCTGTCTTGAGGTTGGATCTTTTACCAAGGGGTGGTAATTGTAGGATTTGACTTCTAAATCTTGAGCAGTCTATAGTCCCCTACTTTAATAGGCAATTATAGTTACTGTATTTTCATATCATATCATGTCATTAAGGGGCCTAATGGGTATGATAGATGATGACAAGTTTAAAACAAAACCTGAAAGGAGAATAAAATGGAACTGAAAATTACAATCATATGGAAACTGAGATATTATTTATTACTTAATTTCATAGTTATAAATCAAAAAAAAAAAAATCAAATCAAATCAAATCAAAGCATCATAATTACCTAACTTTCTTGAGCTGAGGAACAGTGGACTCAATTCTTTCCAAAGTAAATGTCTGAAAGAAATTGATGCAAAAGCTTACAGGTAGATCTAAAGAACTACCACTAAATTAAAAGTTTTGCTCATTAATTTTCACACTGACTGATGAAAACAACCTAGACTAAACACAAGGCAAAGTCTGTCCTCAAGCCAAGCGGCCATGGTGATAATCATGGCCAGACATTAACCCAGGTTCTGTGGCATTAAGCCGCTACAAGTATTTACAACTCCCCCAAGCATTTCAACAGCTTTATTTCTCTGACAGTTCACCCACACCCAATTACATTCCTGTGTGGAGAGAGGCAATGTGATAGTTTAATATTTTTTTGTCCACGAACACAACACATTGACCATACTGCGTCTAACAAACCCAGACCTCCTGCCCCAAAGTCAGGTGCTTTAAATGTTACGCAGTGTCTACACACTGAAAACAAAACAGTGATAAACTTGGTAGGTAAAGCCTGTTTATGAGCCAAATGGCCCATCAGGCCGGTGCTTAAATCCAGTTTTCAATAGCATGAAAGTACTAGCAGTACTTGTACTCTCCGCTGGATGGAATGCTAGTCTATTGCAGGGTTACTCCCAGCATTAAATTCACTCAGTGGTACCTATTTGTACTTCTGAGTAAAGAGAGACACTGTGAGAGTATAGTGTCTTGCCCAAGAACACAACACAATGTCCCTTAAGCCAGAGCTTGAACCCAGACCCCTCAATCGGGAGTTGAGCGCACCAACCATGGGGCCCCTATGCCTCCCATAGTTACATAGTTACATACTTACAAAGGTTAGTTGACCACTCCCCATGGGGGCTTTTTCAGGGCCAATTCCCACCCATCCCACCCCAGGGGAGGATATCCACTACACTGTAATCTCATGCATGGGAAATTAATGTCTCCTACCCCTAACCCTGCAGGAGATGGGGTTTATTCGTCCTTATCTGAGAAGACTAGAATATCTATCCATTTATTATAGAAAGGTAGCAAATTCTCCTCACTTATTTTAAGACCATGAGTATTGGTCATAGTGACAAACTTATACACATTTTATCATTAGTATTACAATGTAATGTTTTCCTGTAGGTGTATACTTTTTTTTGAGATACAATGAATATATGAAGTTCATATATTTTGAACTGCAGTATTAGATACGTATGATGCACGATCCTCGCAGTAGATAGCGCTATTTATGCAATAGCGAAAATCAGACCTGAAAAAAATCAGGCCTGTACGGGACTCGAACCACTGATCTCTGCGATACTAGTGCAGCGCTCTACCAATTGAGCTAACAAGCCAACTGGGAGCAGGCCGTTAAGTTGATTCGTAATAAACCCGTGAAAGTGATAAATGAGATACAATGAATATATGAAGTTCATATATTTTGAACTGCAGTATTAGATACGTATGATGCACGATCCTCGCAGTAGATAGCGCTATTTATGCAATAGCGAAAATCAGACCTGAAAAAAATCAGGCCTGTACGGGACTCGAACCACTGACCTCTGCGATACTAGTGCAGCGCTCTACCAATTGAGCTAACAAGCCAACTGGGAGCAGGCCGTTAAGTTGATTCGTAATAAACCCGTGAAAGTGATAAATGAGATACAATGAATATATGAAGTTCATATATTTTGAACTGC